GACTTTATGCGAGGTCAAAAATCTGCACGGCAAACTAATGAAACAGAAACACCATCAGGTGCTTCCTGATTAACATCAGCGCAGAAATGATGACAAACAGCAATTTTCAAGTCTGCGTGCACTTGTGTAACAACAAAAAGGGAACTGGGAAGATGTTTTTGTTCTCAAAAAGAGGTGACTGAGCTGAGTTTACTCAGTTACTATAAATATGTGCAGCCCCAGGCGGGGGGTAAAACACAGGTGGTTACGGTGTATCATCATTAAGATACGAGCACTGTAAAAAAAGTACATGTTAAACAAGAAAAAAACAGAACGACATCTCACCTGTAAATATGAGACACTACGTGGCATTTTAATATTTACATATCATTACATAACAGGGTGGTTTCATAAAGGCAAGGATCTGCAAACTGATGTCAAATGAAACTTAAACTGCATGTTGGGCGTGGCTGCTTGAGACACAATAAGAGCTCTCAGACAGCCATCAAGTGCCTCAAGGTGCAGAAATGGTGAGGCGATACAACTAAAACAGAGACATGTGGTGTGTAAGTGACTGCAAATGTTAAAAAGACTAACAGCTCAATCTGAACTAGATCAGCAGAAGAAAACGGATGATGGAAAAAGATGAGCCGATTTTAAATTACTGCTGAAATGTGTTGCTCGTGATGCTTTGCTGAGTGCTAATGTCCCCGCTGCACCACGTGATCATACGACCGGCCGCGTGTTACCTCAAACACAGGGTCCCCAGTGAAACGGCTTAAAGCGGCAAACTCCAGGATGATGGTTCCTGCGCACGCTGTGCAGGTGTCCGTTTCTGTGCCCGTCCTCGTCTCGGGCCCCCTGACGCCATGTTTCAGGTTCACCTGTCAATCGGAAAGGAAAAGAAAAACATTAAAACTCTGCTTTGAGAGACGCGTTTGATCTTGCGAGAGGATTTGCATGAAAACAAGTCGGCCGAGAGAACGTCTGCATCGGGGAGCGGTGACAGCTGCGAGCGGAGCAGCGAAGCAGAAAATGGAAACATGAAGCCGTGAAGTGAAAGAATGCCCCGAGCAAACGCAGGTAACTGTTTGCTGTATGTGAATAAACTCAAACATTTATTTTGTAATACACATAAAACAAAACATCTTTACTAAAGATTCTGCAAGTCTTCTATTTTTTCCATCGCACAAACGTGGATCGCCTCTATGACTGCGTCACATATGACCTGCACTCTTCTTACTGAACAAGGAGCGAGCTGCTGCTATCCTCCAAGCCGCAGAACATCAATAACACCCCTTTTTTTAAAAACTACATTTGGAAGCCTCCTGTGGACATTTAGTGCATTTAATAAAAGAAGTAACAATGCTAGAGTTGGCTTTTGGCTTTATTCTTGCAAGAAGGAATTCAGTCAGTACAAGGTACTCATGGCGTTGTCCTGAGGACTTCATCAAAGGATCCATACCCTGCTGCCATACCCCCCCCAATCTGTTGCCAGGCAGAAAAACAGCCAATCTACCCAGATCAACCACAGTTCAACAGGATATATGCAGCATGTAAGTTAAACAAAAATGTAACTGCCCAGAGGCAGGAAGCAGGACACTGCCTCAATTAGGGAGACCCTGCATACCTGCACTTCTACGACCTGCAGGGGTCAAGCCTACATCAGCTTACATACAGTCTGTAATTCCGCCCAAGTGTTTCTGTCTCACCCTGGGATAAGGCAGGCCGCTGCTGGTGTTGAATGCGGGCAGCAGTCGAAGCCCCAGGTCTTTGGCCATGTGTAGGAGCTCATCCTGGTACCACTGCATGTGCTGACCTCCTTCTTTCAACATCACGGCCATGGAGTGTCCTCCCAGCAGACCTCTGATGAGACGCACGCACACACAACATCCACATACAGCGAATTTAGTACAACGCAATCCTATCATTTTAAATGTGGGACAGTGCACGGGCTTGTATTTGTTGACCTTAACTATCTGAAGACAATTTAATCCAATCTCACCCGAGGACTCGAATGTTGGTCTCAAAGACGGACACGACGATGTCGTTGTCCAGCCGCACGTCTGACAGGACTCGTCTCACTGCGTCTTCAAACTCTGTCGTCTTATTTAAAAGCTGCAAGCCAGAAACGGATGACTGTGAAACTGGGCTCAATTACACATAGTTTAAATATCAAATGAAATGCACTGGAAAGAAAAATAATCCCAGAAATACCTAACAGGGAATTTATATTTAGTATTAAGGACTCTAGACACAGTGCTCCGATCTAATTGTTAAGCAAAACAGCATATGGAATCATCTGTTCTACACAGCCTGTGATCCTTATTCATTTACTATTTTTCATTAAACAAATAAACATCAGATGCAAACAAAGCCTACTCACCACCAAAGTGTCCAGAGTATCGATGAGGGTCAGCGAAAACCTTTCAGGGGGAAATCGTAGCAGTTTATCAAGAGTGACACAAACAGACAAAACTTCCTGACGAGTTCCAAAGCAGTAAGGTAAGTAAATCGCCTCGGACTGCTGTGGTCATAACAAAGGCAGCCTGCTACTCACTTGCCAAGTGCATCATCTATGTCTCCACGACTGGGCTCGAGCCCACGGACTCGTCCTCTGCACGTTAGAGGCATCAGCTCATCAGCTGGGTACGCATGGTCCTGGGAAACACACAAACACACTTTAGACAAAGTGCTGATGCTGTTGACCGGACTGTGTGTTCGCAGATTTGAACAAATAAATAATGAACCTCACTCAGCTCTTCTGTTTACTCACCATATAGTTCTGATATGCATGATCAAACATCTCAACCACTTGGTTCCTTAAACAAAAGCAGAACGGACAGAAGTCAGCAGGTATAACATCTGCTCGGATGAGAAAAAGCATGAGTGTTTTTTCTTCAACTTACTTCAATCTCTGCTTCTCCTCCCGGGACATGGCCTGTCCAGGGCTACATAATGCTCCAAACAGCATCAATAATAACAGTACTAGTGGCATTGCGGTGTGCTGGGAAGATTACAGCTAAATGCATACAAACCTAAAAGTACACTATCTAATCTTTGAGACCACCCTGACAAACTAACTTATGCCATCCCAATCATTCTTTTTTTTTTTTTAGTTTTCCCTGTGAGGTAATGTCTAATGAGCAATGCTCAAAAACAGCACGAAGAGTTAGTTTTGGCAACTTCCACTCTATCGGTGTAGACCCCAAAGAGTGACTAGGTAAAATGTGCGTCCACAGCTGAAACTACAGGTAAATATCTCAGCAGGAATGAGTTCAAGTAACCAGATATTTAAGCCTAGCTGACAGTATGTGCCAGCGACTGGTTGTAGTGGAAATGTGCGCCACCTCTTGGGAACGGGTCCCTGTACGTGTCACACCTGTTTACTTTCCCTGGGCTGATTCTACACAGGATGTGTGACACGTTGTCATGGAAAACCCTGACGTTACATTTAAAACCCCATTAAGACGAAACCCCGCCGTGCCAAACCAATCCAGCTGGAAACCAAACCGCTGTTTTCCAGATGTTTTCGCCTAACACACCAGTGGGAAATGTTGGGAGAGCTTCTCTTTTTTTACGTTATAACGGTTCCTAGTGATCTTTATAACTCAATGTGAGCCAAACCAGACTGTTCCGAGTTAACAGTTCTTGCCTTATCTGTGTTTATAACTCCTGTCCTCAAACAGCCTGGAACAAATTAAAGAGTTAAGGCAACACCTCCGGCTATCGCCCGGCCTGTTAGATGAAAAGCTTACTACAGGAGAGTTAATGATTTCCTCCTCTTGACAGCTCTCTATCGTCTGCTACTCAGAAGAAGCCGAGCACTTGTCGGTCTCTAATTAGCTGAGCGGCGCTAACTAGCCGGGCAGGTGACAACGGGCGACCCGGGAATACGAGATGGGTCGAAAAAGCACCTCTCCATCGCTGAACAGCGGGCCTTTCCTGGGTATCTTCTCCGTGTTTTTTGCGATTAAGTTGATAATTTCGCTGTACGGCTGTGTTTCCCCAAGCTAGCTGCCGTCAAAAAACCGGATGCTGTTACGATGAAAACGTCAACAACATCCGCTTCCTGGAAGAGTAGGCGGTGTGGTCGCAGGTTTTATTTGTCCTGCAGCACTTTCTGTCAGGCTTAGAGATGCAGTTAAAGAGCTATCGGTTGGGATTTAATGTAACTCCGAGTCAGTAACCAGCCTGGCAGAAAACACATAGCATACTGATGATGTTTGTATGGGAGTTACACACATTACACCCCCGGTAGCATGATGGTTACACAACGAGGCGGGAGAGCTACCTGACAGTCAAAAATGAGGAACACAAAATAAATTTGCACTTCTGTGTCGTTCATGAAAGCTCAGAAAAAGTACAATCACAGCGATTAAATTTTAATCTAAGGCAAAAAACACAACAATATTCTAATAATTATCAATACAGCAGACGAAACAAATTCAGCCAAATATCTGTCATTTTATGTGAATTCCTGCTTTTATTATGTTTTCTTTGTTTACTATTAGTAACTTTTGCTTGTATGGCACAGCGTTATTGCTCCCCGCCTGTAAAACTAGATATTTTACTTATGTGACTGTCCCGTAACTGTATGGCCACATACAAAATCTATTCTAACTTTTTACTACTTTTCTGTACGCGCTGGTAGCGCTACAATAAAGAAATATCCTGATGGAAATTGAATGCACCATGAATGCTGAGTAAATTCAGTCCTATCAATACATTAAAAAAACACTCAAATCAAATCAAATCAAATAACTTTTATTGTCACATCACATGTGCAGGTACATTGGTACAGCACATGTGAGTGAAATTCTTGTGTGCGAGCTTCACAAGCAACAGAGTTGCTGTCCGATATGTGTGTGCGTGAAGGTGAGGAAGGTATTTAATTTGAAATATTTTAATATAAAAGCGGATAAAGTTCATATTTACTTGTTATCCAATCCCCCCCCCCAACTAACTACATTTCCCATGGATCTTTGCGATGTCCATTGACGTTTAGTTGTTTGATGTTCACGTGACGAGCATTTCAGCAAATCCCTGTCCAAAAAAACAAGTTATAACCAGAGATCCACTTCCCTTAAAACTAAAACCTATGCCAGCGGCTCCCAGAAGGAAAGACCGTGCAGGTAAGCTGGAGATCGTCTTTGGAACTGCTTTTGATGCTCCATAATTTCCTTTTCATAGTATATCAGTTTACTGCCATTCTTCTGTTTACACACCGTGCCCCAGCGCTCTGTGGTGTATTATAAAGTTTGTGAGTGTGCTGATGTCAAAGGCTGTGTCTCGCCTGTTTGTTTTGCGGTGTTTCTTTTGTTTCACTCCAGTGTGCCTTTCTATGCCAGAACATGTCTATCATGGCTCCTGCCGCCGACAAAAAGCTCACCGGACTTGTTGCAGCCACATTCACTCCGATCACCAGTCAAGGGTAAGGAGATCTGAAGCCTCTTTCCTCCTGTGTGTCTGTTCAGTAAAAGTGTGTGAGATGTATTGAAACTGGGGAGGCGCAGGGACGGGCATCTTACACACCTGTTGTCAGGTTTTGTTATTTGCCACATGTGTAGGTCTATATTTTTCACATTCTCCCAAAACAGTGAAATCAACCTATCAGTGATTGGACCTTATATTGACTACTTGAAAGAGAAGCAAGGTGTAAATAACGTGTTTGGTAAGTTTACCTGTGGATTCTTTCTTTTCATATTTGTGGTTTTTTTTCTGTATCCCCACCTGAATCAACTCTAATATTGCATGATTCATCCGCTGATTTGTATACATACTGTTGTTTTACTGTGGTAGATATGTTGCTCCTTTGTTAATCACATTCCCTGGTGTAAAAATAATCAAAAGTATGGTTTTATATGTAGTCAGAGTTGGATAAAACCATAGCAAGTTAGCTGAATTGCACAACTCAATAAAACATTATTGACTTCTAATAAAAATCCCATGTAAACATTTAACTGATGATTCCTTCTGAGTATAATATCCAGCTCTTTAGAAACTTTCCATCAATTTTTACTCAAATTATTGCCTTTATGAAATATTGTATATCGCACCTATAATATTCATGCAAGAATGCAACACACTGGTCTCCTGCAGCTGCTGGGGCGGCGTATTCAAAATTAGTCCCAGCTAATGCATACCTTTGGTGTGAAATTTCCACAGATAAACAGAGAAAACAAAGAGTTACCGCAAAAATCAACTCTGGATTATGAATGCAATGTTTTTGTTGAACTTGCAGTGACGTGTGGCTGGAGGCAAAATAGCCCAGAGAAAAGAGTGAAACATGCAAAGAAACCCCACTCAGTCTCAACCTTTGAATATGACTTTGTGTAATCTGATTGGTGGGATTATTCTGCAGTTTTCCTGCTGTGTCCAGTCCACAAAACACTAAAAACCAGGTGCCGTGAGGCCGTTATTGCACCATTGTTCCTCCAGGAAACCAACCTCCACAGGGTGCCTTTTTAATGCTGCTGTGAGCTGTTAATGAAGACCATTGCTTCCCCGTGTAATAATATTCCTGGAAAAAGGGCACATTGGTCTTTACGCTTGTTATTTGCAGTTTAAGCATTCTTCTTCAGTTCAGACACTCATCCTTGAAATTTCTGCTCAAGCTGAAGTAGATTCCCACGTCTCGAGTGCCGACTGTTATCTGCGGCTCTTTTGGTGGCACATACATGGAGAAAAGTTTAGACAATGTCAAGATCCTGCCCTTTCCTCTGCACAGCTCTCCCCGTGAGCCAGGCGTGACTCTGAAATGCTTACCGCTTCATTTTCCACTTCACTAAAAGCCCTTTGAATCACTATAGCTCAGCCTGAGCTTCTCCTGTGTTAACGTCTCATTTCCACATTACTTTCTGTGAGTGCTTAGTCAGCAGAGGATGTTTGTGCTGATCTTTGTACCTCATTGTGTTTTTATGCTCTTCCAGCTCTATTTGATTTCCCCATCACTGTCTGCACCACTGCTTTCTAGACTTGAAATAGTCTTGTGCTGTGAATTATCGCACAGTCAGCAGTCTGTGGCACAAGTTCCACGATGACTGGTTCGCCGTGGCGGTTTCCTTCATTTCTTACAGTTTTTCTATCCTTTGCTGAAGCGGTGGCAAGTGGGCTGTGCTAGACTATTATAGGCTACGCCATCCTTTTATGTCTATTTATTGACATGCTTTTTGATCTTGTTTGGTTTTTAAGACTGAGAATCTTGAGATTTAAGTTTCAGTGATGTGGATCTTGGACAGACGTTTCTTTGCTTGCAGTGAATGGCACCACGGGCGAGAGCATGTCTCTCAGTGTGGAAGAGAGGAAGCTCCTGGCTGAGGAGTGGTGTCGAAAAGCAAAGGGCAAGTGAGTCATCGCAGGCAATTGGATTTTTACTCAAAAAACCCCCAAAATTACGCAAAGAAACAATCGAACAAGCACATGCACCTTGTAGCTATTCCCTAGAGTCACCATGGGCTTTAAAGTGTTAAGTATACAGTTAAAAAATAGATATTGAGGAAATGTTCTCCTCTCCACAGGATGGATCAGGTGATTGTTCATGTTGGCTGCCTGAGTCTTAAAGACACCCAAGAACTGGTGAGTTATGTCATGATTCCATTTTCTGTCGAGCTCCTGTGTGAAAATATGTTTAAATTTAGTAACACAGGGTTAAAGTGGAGTTTCCGCCACATTGACCTAGTCAGGCAGTATCGCAGGCTTAGCCTCGCCTTAACCTGAGGTATACACAACATGGCCATTAGATACAGTAAGTCAGATTTAATATTAGCGGTGTGTTCAGGCACCACATGTGCCTGCAGTAAAAATAAAACACTGTTTCTATATTACTTTATATTAAATGTGTTCAGTTTAAATGGTAAAGCTATTGAAATGTGAGGCAGTCACTGTGTTGCAGGGGGCCGAGTCCAGGAAATATCTGGTCCCAGTCAGCGAATAATCTGGCACATGACGTCCTGTGTGACAGTCACGTGTCAGTTAAAGAACAGCATGTTGTTTGGTGCGGGTTAGAGGTCCGTTCGTTGTGTCACAACCCTGCTTAAAAGAGGCTGACAAAGAAGTCAACAAATCAAACTTATGTGCGTGTGTGTCTGTCAGCACATGAGCGTGCATGCAAGGCCTGAGTGCACAGGAAGTCTGAGCGAGTGTGTCAAAGTGAAAAAAACAGCCAGTGAGGAGGAGAGGAGAGAGCAGACTGTGAGGCCTGGTGTAAAGTCTCCAGAGCACATGATGTCACACATCACGTGACCAGTCAGATGTTATCAGGCAATGGCGTTTATTGTGGTGATTATAAATCTATTCAGAATATCCAAATGTCATAGTTAATAATTTGGCTTGTTATTAATATCTAATGGGGTTTCTTTTCTTCTTCTTCTTCTTTTGTGTGGGTTGTTTTTTTTGTTTTTTTTTTTAGATTGATAATCCATTCATTTCCCATCTTTCGTTGTCCTTCTTCCAGGCTCACCATGCAGCACAGATTGAGGCCGATGGTATAGCAGTCATTGCTCCGTCCTTCTTCAAGCCCAGCAGTGCAGGTGTGTGATGTTTTTAGACATGCATATTGCAGCATTAATAACACATTTCATACATGACAACATGTGAGCCTAAACAAAAACCTCTGCATCTCTTTTCTTGTCACCCCGCTTCAGATGTTTTGAGGACCTTTCTCCAGGAAGTGGCTTCAGCTGCTCCAACTCTGCCCTTCTATTATTATCATATCCCATCAGTCACTGGTGTCAACGGTGAGGCAGTCTGAGATTTGGACATTTTCTAACCATTTAAATTTTATGTCTTTTATAATGTGTGTGTGTGTTTTGGTTTTTTTCCCTGTTTGTTTTATTTCTTCAGTGAACGTGAGAGAACTAATAGAAGGTATTGAGAAGGTCATCCCTTCCTTTAGAGGCGTCAAGTTCACTGGGAGTGACCTGATGGACTTGGGCCAGTGTATCAGTTGCATTCCGCCTCACTGGTCAGTCCTCTATGGCATGGACGAGGTCAGTCTTTCCTCTTTTTGTAGCCTGTTGTCACTTTAACCTTAGCCGTGGAACTATCCTAAAAAATGTGATTTGTTTTAAAAATAGCAACTTCTAGGAGCTTTGGTAATGGGAGTCCATGGAGCAGTTGGCAGGTGTGTATGTGTGTGTGTGTGTGTGTGACTTTTCATTTGCACGATGCTCTGTCTTCATTCCTTCTCTATGCTCAGTAGTTTTATTTCTCTGCACGCAGCACATATAATTACGTAGGATGTCACGTCAACAAGCTCATATCGGCGTTCGAGACCGGCGACCTCGTCCAAGCCAGGACGATACAGGTACTGCTGATCTCTCTACCGCTGCTGTGTGTCCTTGATCATTTGTACCACTTTGCTCACATCTGTACATCTTTAATCTGATTTCCACGAGCAGTTCAAGATTCAGGAGCTTGTGAGTTTTGCCATCAAACTTGGTAAGTGATAGCTTTGCACTGACGTAGTAATCCTCTAATGGTGTCTTTTTTCCCCCTGCATTTTATAATGTGCTGTTGTTGCTGACAGGTTTTGATGTGGGAGTAAATAAACAGTTGATGAACGACCTGTCGGGCTTGGATCTGGGACCCCCCCGTCTCCCGGTGATGGCATGTCCAGCTGCTCGTGCTCTGGCCATCAAACAGAAATATGACAGTATCTTTCCTGAATAACTTGAACATGCTTGAACATCCCTCATTCCAATAATAGATTACACAGACTCTCTCCAAAGAGTTTCTCCATATTGTTAGGTCTTTACCCAACTGTGTTAAGTGTCCTCGTATTAGTTAACTGCAATCATGGCATTATACAGGACTGTGCAAAAGTCTTGAGCCACCCTTCATTCCTTTATATTTTCCTTCCAAGGAGCCAGACTTTCTTGTAATCTTTAAGTTCTCGAGGCTTTCAGAAAGCTGCTTATTCACTCACTTTTGATCCAGTCCTTGCACCTGAGCATTTCCAGAGGAATGTGAATGATTCAAGTATGAAAAGGTTCCTAACTCAGGGAATGAACCAGCGATGTGTCAACAGAGAATAAATGTTAAGTTGGATCTTTAGGCACATAATTCGTTCAGCTGAATCTAGGGCTGCCACAGATGATTATTTTGATAGTCGACTAGTCACCGATTATTTTTGCGATTAGTCGACTAATCAGATCATGCATCCATTGGACGTACAAGTACAGCTTATTGCACCAGCATGCATCTGCTCTTATGTAACTATCATTAGCTTACAGCTTTAAGTGTTTGAGGTATGTGCTAACTAAAAAATAAAGACAAGATGATAGTTTATTAAATTTAAATGAAATTTGCAGATTGTTTCAGTGGAGTTTAATAAACTCAGCCGCCTGCTCCTTGCTATCTAAAATATAACAGGACACCGGAGCATACTCTCGAGCATCTCACACTTCTGATAATCAGCTGTCTGCTTGAGGTTTATTCAGCTGTGTTAAAACTCTAATTTTAATCTCAGCCAAACCGATTTACTCAGGAACAAATAAAATACTGAAAAACTGAAAATATGTTAAACGTTTATTTTGTGACCCAGAAAGAATAATAAGAGTAGTATTAAAACTAACTAGCTGCCGCCAATGTTGGAAACTGAGCAAGGCCGCGATGGGCTGCGCTATGAATTCTGGGACACAGTTTTTTCTTCTCCGGGTTTAACAGCAGCTGGCATCCTTATACATGCAGTGCTGGCATTTTCTGTTTTGGTCGGTTATTACACTTAAATCCTACCACTTATTCCTGCGTCTTTTGGGATCCTACAAAGCTTCAAACGACGCGTTGACTATTAAGTTAGTCATCGACGATTTTGATAGTCGACTAATCTGAGCAAAGTGGACAGAAGAAGTCTCACCTGCTGCAGATGAACAGTATCTGAAAGTCATGTCCTTAAAAAAAAAACATGAAATACTCCAGCAAAGACCTGACACAGAACCTGAGAGATGATCTGGATCTCCAGCTGATCTCTGCCTTATTAGTCTCAGTGGAAGGGCGACTGTCAGGAAGCCGCGCTTAATGAAGGGAAACAAGGGTATGGCTGAGATATGAAACTGGACTGAAAATCAGTGTAAACAGGTCTGATCGAGTGAAGAATCCAAATTTGAAAGTTTAGTTCATTATTTTGTCAAGAAGTACAGAGGTACACCAGCGAGATGGTGCTTCGTCATGTCTGTGAAGGTTCTCAGTCATCCAGGTCATCGTAGTCTAAGAAGCTTGGAAAGAAAAGTGTCTGAACTTCTTTAAGTTTCCTTGAAGACGGTTCACCTCTCATCCGAGAAGCTTCTTCAGTTCTAAGAGCAATTGGTGGTGAGTCCCAGATTTTAAGCCCTATAGGAGTGTCACCACAATCAATTGCTCTTAGAACTGAAGAAGCTTCTCGGACGAGAGGTGAACCGTCTTCAAGGAAACTTAAACAAGTCCAGACGCTTTTCTTTCCAAGCTCCTTAGACTACAATGACCTGGATGTCATGGTTTGGGGTGTATTTCTGTCAGTGGTGTTGGAGACTTTTGTTAAAACTGATGATTTATGAACACAGAAAAGCACCATCAGAGTTTGATCCACCATGCAGTAACATCTGGACAGCATCTGATTGGCAGCATCTTCATTTTTCAGCACGACAATGATCCCAAACACACTGCCAGCGCAGTGAAAGCATACCTTGGAATACTATCGGTCACTGATGGGCCTCCTCAGAGCCCGAAGCTCAGTATTACTGAAGCAGTGTGGGATAATCCAGAGGCAGAAACATCCAAGAAGCCTGGAGAACTATTCCTGAAGATCCTCACAGAGATGACAGAGAGCTGCTCAGAGTTCAGACTATGCTAAAGGATAAAGGTGCTAAACATACAAACTCAGTTTTTGCCTTATATGCTGTTTTTCCATGTATGTTTGAAACAATCGCTGTACCCGTTTCAAAATTTCATAGCAAAATATGAAGAAACAAGGGGTGGCTCCAAACTTTTGCCATGTACGGAGTAAAATAAAAATTAAATTCAAAATAAAATACTTCAGTCATACACTGTTTAACTACAACATTATAGACTGAATATTGAGTGGGCTAAACCTATGCCAGAAAAACACAGTGAGGCGTGAACAGGAGCCCTCTGAGCTGTTGGATCTTGGCCAGCAATGGGCTGCAGAGACGAGCCTCGTTGGATTGGAACAGCTCTGACACATCCTCCACATTCTCGATCAGAAGCTCCAGGCATCTGGAAAGCTTCTTTTGTTTATGTATCTTTAGCCATTTTTTAGGAGTATATTTGTGTACTAGGACCTGGGGTTTACCAGCAGAACATCACATTGTAACACACTAACATAAAAAAATCAGTTATTCCCCTCATGTAGGAGTGTTTTTCAGCTGCTCTGTAACCAGATGTTTCACATTACCAAACCTTTAATGTTCGAGGTGTAAGCAGGCGAAACAGGGCAGAAGTAAAAATCTTTTTTGTTTTTTGACAGCCACATGATGTGTTTGTAGCGAGCGTATGTATTTTTCTGGGCATTCTCCACTGACTTCAAAGGTTTGATCTTTTAATGTAATATGGAAAAAATGATGCTGTAGAAAATGTAGCACCGTTTTTACATTTGTGAGAATGGAGACCGTCACAAATCAGCAGTGTTATCCTGGTCTTACTGTTTGAAACCATGACTGAAGCTGATTTGACTCATGTCAGTGCTTCTATTTAAGACGCATGGAATGACATTGTAATAACAACTGGAAATGATTTCTTTATAGTACAAAAGTTACAAAGTGGGCATCATTGCTTCACTTCTCGACTTATTGTGAGCTTCAAAATGGACTTCAATTGAATACAAAATTGAAAATGACAGTTATGACGAGCTGTATCCGTGAGAGACAGGATAACGAATCCGGAAGTTAAGAAATATGACCTGTTGAATGAAAAGGTGTCGGACACTATAAAGATCCTAATGATGAAAGGGAGCATTGAACACATGAGAAGAATGAGGTCTTGATTATTTTTGTTTATTATTGTTTGCTTTCTGTCTTAAAAGGGAAATGTACTGTAACTATAACAGTCAGGCATTTATTACTAATAAAGGAGTTTATCTCTTTGCTGATTAGCACTGATCATGTTTCTTTTAGTCTTTGTAGAGGCTAACTGTGGAAAACTGAGTACACTGTCACCACGTCCATAGGACCCGAGAGGGTATCGGCCTGGTGCTGCTGATCAAATGCACTGCAATATGATTATCAAGTGTGAGAACTTCTGTGTTTTGCTTCAGATGACAGAAATACATTGCCGGTGGATTCAGCTGCTGAATTAACCATCTCCCATCCAGGATATTTTGGAATATTTTGCATTTTTTCATCCTCAGCATGCTTATGCGTGTTCATTTGTGTACTTTCAAATCATTAAGAATATCGGGCACAAGTGTGCTGACTGGTTTTTGTGTTTCACAGTCAGCACATTCTTTAGTCCTTTCGGAGGAATGTGTGCGTGCTAAGAAAAACTAGATCAGACAAGGAGGACTTCATGAGGTCACTGTGACACAGTACGTATGTGTTTATCCAGTGTTTGTCTCTCTTAAGCTGTGTTGTGAGAGATGCGAAGTGACGTAAAGCCCATTCAGCTAAAACACACCGTTAGAGACTAAATGATTACATTTGACTGGAAACATTTTAGACTTTGGCTCATTATAGATCTCAGCTATCTGAACTGCTTACAGTTTTGAAAAAGTTTCCTCTCTTAACTTACACACCAACCCTCAGATTCGCCTTCTGCTCCTTTAAACTGCTGATGTAAACTAAAGTTTTAAACTGCATTCAAAGCCGATCTTTCAGGAAAATGTTGCTTACGCCTTAAATATTAACTGTCAATTTGTATTTGGTCAAAATTGTAAATAGTATTGTATACAATAACCAAACACAGCCACAAGGGGGCCACAAGCCACCGAGACACTCCTAGTGTTAGTCCCAGGCCCATATAAAGGGGGGAGGATTGTGTTAGGAAGGGCATCCGTAACATTGTGGCCAAATTGAACATGTGGATGATAAAGAATGAGATTGAATTACGCGAGCCTGAGCTATCCAAAGCAACAGACGGCAAGACCTGCTGTTTGGTTTGGAGACAGAGGGACAGCTCAAAGTCAGAGAGGCAAGGCTGAGAGGGAGATGATGACGATGAAGATGCAGCTGCAGGGGGACATGCAGAGTATTGATGTGACCGGGGAGGATGCTGGGATAGGGTGAGATGGAGGCAGGTGATTTGATCTGGCGACCCATACAGGGAGCAACTGAGAGAAGACTGAATATAATACTGGATTAGTCACAGGAGAAACTGTGGTGCGGGATCAGTAACATGACTAATTTTTGTCATTTAACCACATCTGGCTAGAGTTTGAGTTTTATGCTGTTTAAAATGGTTTTGAGGCCTTTTGCCATCACTTTCTTTTAAGCATTGTCTTTTCATTGTGGTCTCTGGATTACTTGTCATGACAGGGAACTTATTAGTAAGTGTGTAGCGAATACTGGCTGGACTGGTAAACTTGTTTCCTGCTTCAAATGGAAAATTCAGTTCAGCTGATAATAACTGTTGACTCAAAGCATTTTAAACCATAATGTAAAATCACCTAAGATTTCTGAGAGAGTACCCCAGCCATCAGAGGAGCCTCTATGAGCAAGCACTTGGCAGAGGGGGACAGAAAGAACCCCAGCGGACCCAGGGAGGGGCAGCCATCTGCTGCAGCTGGTTGGGAAGTGAGGGGAAAAGAGATGAGAGACAGAACTGAATGTAAAATAATGGAGAGAGGACAAACATGTTTAAACTGTAATACTAGACACTTGTGGTATTTTATCTGATTCATATCGGACCTTATCAGAGATGTTTTACCTCCATAAAACAAGAGGAGAGATGAAAAACTGTTCTGTGGAAAAAACTGTGGTCACTCTGTGCTTCTCTGTTATTTCAGGGCTGTGACAGACTTCCTGTGTACATGCAGCATGACTCCCTCTCATCACAAGTGAGAGCACTAAAGTCATGAAACTGGTGAGTGATACATGTAAATAAACTCTCGCAGTCACTGCTGCTGGTTTTGAAATATTACTTAAATTCAGTCCTAAAAATACTTTGAACGGATGTACTGCAGACGAAAACAATCTATCGAATGAATACTGTGT